CAAAATCATGCCCAGGATTGGAGTTCTGGGAGCTCGAAGAACACGAAGTGGCCTACAGTTGGCTCCGGGCATTCAACATCATACCCAGGAATGGACGTCTGGAAACTCGAAGACCACGAAGCGCGTTACAGTTGGCTAAAAAAGGAGTCTCCGGATTCCCCCGGGTCCCGTCCGGATCCCGCCCAGACCCCCCATGGGGAGTCAAGATGCTCTCTTTTGACACCACTAGAAACCTATCAGTCTTCGCTGTTAGGTAAAAAAGCATCGTGTGCGGGAGCGGTGGGGGTGATCGGGCGGGGCTCCGCACTCGACCCGGCAGCGCGTGGCCGGTGGCCTGAGGAGGAGCAGGACGGGAGGGAGGAGGAGGAGGAGGAGGAGGAGGAGGAGGAGGAGAAGGAGGAGGAGGAGGAGGAGGAGGAGGAGGAGGAAGACAAGCTACGTGCGCTCGCGTCATATCTGACGTTCGACCCCTCCCTCCCACCCCTTACCATGGCGTAGATTTCATCTCTATTCGCAGTCAGATGCCGTAGCAGGGCATAGCATTATCTGGCATAGCATGTTGTTGAAGATCAGCGCGTAGCCAGACATAGCATGGCGTAGCTACGCCCCAAAGTGGGTGGGGCTTCTGCGGCCCAACAAATCAACACACATATACGCCGAATGTGAATGTGTAATGACTTCCCATGGCCGTTTCGGAGGGGCATTTTTTAGATTTTGGAGCCTATTTGGCAGGATCGAAAGCCATGTCGTGGCATGGCGCTGGAAATAATGACGCCAGCGCTGCAGCGGGAGCACGATTCGGAACGAGCGGAAGCGCGGAAATGAGGCCAGCGCTGCAGCGGGAGCACGATTCGGAATGAGCGGTAGCCCGAAAATGAGGCCAGCGCTTCAGCGAGAGCAGCATTTCGACAAAAAACAAGCGAAAGCCCAACTCCAGGGAATCCTGTGCGCAAAAAACTGGTACGCGGAGGGGGGCCGAATACTTCCCCGACGTCACCAGGAAAGAGAGGAGAGTGGTATTCATATTGCGTAATTCTAGAGGCGGAGGAGGAGGAGGAGGAGGAGGAGGAGGAGGAGGAGGAGGGAGGGAGGGAGGGAGGGAGGAGGGAGGAGGGAGGGAGGGAGGCGTGCTCCTCTGGCCTTTCGTGGCCCACCGCGAGACGGTCGGAGGGGGCGCGACGTACACACCGCGCCGTGGAGTCGGCCACGGAGCGAGCTGGCGATCCGTCTGGCCGGGGCGTGACGAACCTGAGATCCCCCTCCCCCCCCACACTGGCAATGGAGGGCAAATCGGGGCCTCCGGACGGGCGGGACGAACCCTCCTCCTCCTCATCCTCCTCCCCCTCCTCCGCCTCCTCCTCCTCCCTCCTCCTCCTCCTCCTCCTCCTCCGACCCCCCCCCCACAGGAAATGGAGGGGAAACTGGGGTGGCTTGGTGGGCGGTGACGAACCCCTCCGCTCCCCCCTTCTCCTCCTCTCGCTGGCGGGGGCCTGGCCGGACCCTGGAGAGGCCCCCGGCTGCTCCGCTCTTCGGGCCGGGGTGTGTTTTCGTGTGTGTTTCGGGCTCCGCGACCCTCACAGATCGATCCGGCTCGAAAAACGACGCGGGAAGACTCAGCCACGCGCAGAGGTGGGTGGGGGGAGGGGGGAGGGCTTCTTAGAAGCAACCCTGCTTCTTAGAAGGCGCGGGACTTATCTATAGATGTAAGCCCTCCCACCTCCCTCTACCCCCTTGTGCGCGCCGCCAAAAGACGGAATCGAGGGCTCTGGGTGTGATTTTGAAAATGTTAGAAATCTTTCGCCGCGTCGGATCTCAGGGGATGCGGCCAGCCTGGCAGCCCACCAGTGGTGGCCCTCGTCATCGTCCGTCTCGTCTCTCGTTCCCCCCCCGACCACGGGGAGGACGGTGCTGCTCGTGGATACTTGAGGAGCAGAAGTCAGAGCGTGAATTACCTACCCCGCTTTCGCTTCCAGGAAAAACCAAGTCATACCACACGCCTCCTCGTCAAGCGGCCTGACCAGCACAGGCCGTAGTTTGGCATCGCTTGGTATCTCTTGGAAGCGAGGGTGGTCAAAAGCGAGGTAGGTTTGCTTCCCCCCTAAGAAGAGGGCACGCACATAAACTTTCGGAGGTCAGCGCGGGCTTCTTGGATCGGCGCTGGACCCCTCTCCCCGGCGCGCGGAGCGTGCAGGGGGCGGCGCCGGAGGCGCCGCCAGGGGCCCCCGGCACAGATCCAAGAAACCTCTGCGGACCGTCAGAAGTCAGGAGGGGAAAAAACACACAGACACAATGAATCGACGATTCCCAGGAAAATATGGGAACATATGGGAAGTGGGGGGGAAGGCAAAAGCCCAGAAACTATAGGCAAAATAGGGGGGATATTGTTATTTGTGTGTATTTATTTGTGTGTCCCAGTTCCCCTTCAATTTAGGCAGCGTTCGCTTCCGTCTCGCTCCTCGCCCCCCGGCCACGGGGAAGAGGGGGGTGCTGCCCAGAGGGGCCTCGGCCTGCTTGCGCCCTCTTATGTGTATGCACCTCTGCCCCTGGGAGGGGTCGCGCCCCTCACGCCCGCGGCCGAGGCGGTCTAGTCGGCGCGGCCCAGTCGAGCTCCTCGCCCCCCTCGCCCTGCTGCTGCCCCCCTCCCGCTGGCAGTGGGCAGTGGGCAGAGCGGATGGGCACTCCAAATCCCTTGTGAATCGACCCCCCCCCTAAAAAAACAGGACCCCCTCCAAATGCGACCTGATATTCCGGACCCCCCTCTTCGACAGGGCGCCTCAATAATACCGCATCCCCTCAGATCCAATCCAAAGGAACCGACCCCATAAACCGGACACCCCCAGCTACAAAAAAGGCGCCTTAAAAAACCGAACCCCGGGGACGATTAATGAGGGATTTGCCCCGACTCCAGATCCGCCCTACTTTGGCTTTTTTTCCAACTTAAAATTGCGGCGGAAATCCACTTATAAGAGGCCGAAAAAGTAGGGCGGAAATTTCTGCACCCAACATAAAGTGGGGCGGAAATCCACAGGCGGAAACAGCAACAGAAAAGTAGTGCGGAAATTGCATCAGCGGGGCTTGAAAAGTAAGGCAGAAATCCCAAGCCCTACGTACGAATTTCCCCAAAGTAGGGCGGATCCGGAGTCAGGGTGAAGTACGGAAGGTCATGAATCAGGAGGGAAAAGAACACACAGACACAATTAATCGTCGATTCCCAGGAAAATATAGGGGAAATATGGGAAGTGGGGGGGAAGACAAAAACCCAGAACATATGCGAAAATATGGGGAATAGTTTTATTTGTGTGTATTTATTTGTGTGTCCCAGGGCCCCTTCAATGAAGCTGGGCGCACAGAGCAGCCCGTTGCGGGCTCCACTCCCGGACGTGGCCGCGCCGTGGGAGAATCGGGACGGGCGGCTTCTGGCCGTTTTTTCGGCCCTCGGGGCCCTCAAACACCGAGGCAGGACGAACACAACGGGCCCGGTCAAGGGGTCCAGACTTTAGTTCAGCGGCGCCGTAAGGGGTACTCACTAACGGGTACTTTTGAAAATTGCCGAAAGTTGCCATTTTAGGGCCTCTTTGTGGCATTGCAGCGTTGCCCACATCGGGGAGGGTTAGGTTCGCAGGGTCACTGGCCAAAGTAGCCGTTAGTGGAGTCCCCGTTAGAGGGGCGCTGATTAGTCGGGCCTGTCCCCCTACAGAAGGTTTTTCGACGAACAATGAAAAATACCCCAAAAATGGTCCAAAAATAGTCTGGGGACTATTTTTCGATTATTTTTGACCTTTTCGGGGTATTTTTGTTTTTTTTGTTCGTCGAAAATTCCCCTGTAGGGGGACAGGCCCGACATAAGTCCAGACCTCCCAGGGTCGACGTGACGAACAGAATCACGACGTCGGGGGTCTGTGTCCGGGGACTCCCTCCCCAGACCCCCGTCGTAATGATTTTGTTCATAGCGTCGACCCTCAGAGGGCTCGACCCGTTCCCCTGGACCGGCTTCTCACCCCGAGTCGCTGTTTGACGCTCCCGAGGCTCCGGCAAGAGCCCCCATGGAGGCCGGAACTAGCGCAACACCTCCCGCCGTGGTTTTTTCATTGCCCGAGGGGCCTGGGCACGCAACCGCGACCAGCAAGCTCTTGCGCCGAGGACCGCCGCAGACCAGTGGAACAGCCGCCGAGGACCGTCAGAGGGGCCACCGGAGAGACCGCCGCAGCCTTCCAAACACACCGCCGAGGGCCCGTGGCCGTTGGTAGGGGGCCACATGCGAACCCTACCCCTACCCCCCACGATTTCGGAGGGGGAGGGTGGGGTTCACTTCGCTTGTGAGCTCCCGAACGAAGTGAACCCCACCCTCGCCCTCCGAAATCGTGGGGGGCAGGGGCAGGGTTCGCATGCGGCCCCCCTAGTTGGGCTGCACTGTGCGGGCGCGCAGGGGGCCCGCGACAGAGGCGGGCCGACGCAGCCCACGGCCACCGCGGCCACGGCGGCGCTGACCCAGACCCCCTCGCGCCGTGGCAAAAGCACGACGGGAGTCTATTCTCTCGCTAGCTGCGGCCCCCACGGGGGTCCCCACCGGGCCTCGGGAGCGTCCCCAAAAACGACTCGGGGTGAGAAGCCGGTCCAGGGGAATGGGTCGAGACCTCTGAGAGCGGCGTGATGAAGAAATCATTGCGACGGTGTCTGGGGCCGACACAGCCCACGGTTACGGCAGCCACTGCGACGCGCAGGCGCCACCGCTCCGTCTTCAGAGGACCGCTCCCCGGCACGCGTGTGAGCGTTCGTCCCGTCCGTTCGGATGCAACTCTTGGGAGGTGAACTTCTGACCTTGCTCTGGTCCGGAATCCGGCCTGGTCATGCTCAGTCTGGCTTAATCCCGTTGACTCCGGCTCTCAATCCCGCTTCATCAGCCCCCCAGTCGGGCGCAATCTTCCCTCACCTCATCCTTCCGACGAAGACCTCCCAGTAGTTGTTTTCTATCGTCCGTCGCCCCCTCTGGCTCCAAGACCCCATGCCGCTCCGGGCATGCGACCGCCCGCATAACTGTACTTATCGGAAGGCGCCAGCCATACGCTTGCACCGATCCTGGCCAGGCCCAGTCTGGGCCCAGGATCGGTGGATGTGCCTTCCTGGCCAAGCGAGGAGGGCGTATGTACCGATCCTGGACCCAGGCCAGGACCAGTGCGTAGTACAGTCAAAATCCATAGTAAGGCTGCGCTGCTTCATCAAGGCTCCCCGTGCATCCCTGCTTCGTCGGCCCCTCCTGAACCGACGCTGGCGTGCAAGGAGCTCGAAATGGTGTATGGCACGTCCAAGGGTCTTGCGTCTTGCATCCCCAGACATGAGACGTCCTGATTTTTTCGTTGCAGGGTCCCTGGACCTCTCGACTCTTTCCCTCGGACCGGCTTTTCGTCCTCGGTAGTTCTTGTTACGGTCCCAAACATTGCCCGTTTTTGTTTCTTCATGTTTGGGTCACTACCCTGCATCTGCGCTGTGGACTCTGACTGCATCGCCAGCCGCTGGCGCCCTCCCAGCTTTAGGCCAGCGCGGCAGAGCGCTCCGATGTCCCGCCGCAGCAGGCCGGCGGCGGGCGAGGGGGGGAAGCGAGAAGGAGAAGGCCTTCTCAGAAGGCGGCTGGACCTCGCAGAAGGCCTCGGGGCCTTCCGAGAGGTTCCCCCCGTCGTCGGGGAAGGTTTGGAAGACTTCTCAGAAGGCCAGGTGGGCTTCCGAGCCTTCTGAGGAGGCCCGCCCCCCTCCTCCTCCTTCTCCTCCTCCCCCTCCTCCTCCTCCGCCTCCTCCTCCTCCTTCTCCGCCTCCTCCTCCTTCTCCTCCTTCTCCGCCTCCTCCTCTTCCTCATCCTTCATTCCTGTTCCTTATAGATAACGTATTATAAATGTGGCTCTTGCCTTAGCGCGGCGCACATTCGATTTAAACGATCGCAGAGTTTCACGGATTGAGGGCGGGCCGTTTTCAAAATGTGGCTCTCGCCTTAGCGCCGCGCACATTCGCTTTCAAACTTTGCAAGAGTTTGACGAATTGAGGGCGGGCCGTTTTCAAAATGCGGCTCTCGCCTTAGCGCCGCGCACATTCGTTTTCAAACTTTGCAAGAGTTTCATGAATTGAGGGCGAGCGGTTTTGAACATGTGGCTTTCGCTTTAGCGCGGCGCACGTTCGTTTCACAAGTTTGCAAGAGCGTCACGGATTGAGGGCGGGTCGTTTTCAAAATGTGGTTCTCGCCTCAGCGCCGCGCACATTCGTCTACAACAGTTTCAAGAGTTTCACGGACTCGCATCATCAACGTACCAGACATGGTGTTTTTTTTGGACGGATTCAGGATGATGCGGGCGCCACAGTTACGTTGATTCTCTGTGTTGAAGTCCTAGTAATGGCGTTCTGGCACGATTCAGGATCGTCAAGACGATACAGTCAGGTTGATCCGTGGCGTTGGACACCCGAGAACAATGTTTTGGCATGCTTCAGGGTCTTCAAACGGGTGTCTTCCAACAAGGCAGTTCCTATGAACCAGTGTAGGGGCCTATGAAGAGGGAGCTTGGAGGCAGGGTTTACTCCACCATCGTTGATGACTCTTGGGTTTACACTGGTCCTCCTCCTCCTCCTCCTCCTCCTCCTCCTCCACAGGCTACTGGCGCTCCTCCCCCTCCTCCTCCCCCTCCTCCTCCCCCTCCTCCTCCTCCTCCTCCGCCTCCTCCTCCCCCTCCCCTCCCTCCTCCTCCTCCTCCTCCACCTCCTCCTCCTCCTCCTCCTCCGCGCGCTGCCGCCTAACCGCCTACTCCTTCTCCTCCCCCCCTCCTCCTCTCCTCATCCTCCTCCTCCCCCTCCTCCTCCTCCTCCTCTCCTCTGCCTCCTCTCATCTTCCTCCGCCTCCTCCTCCTCCTCCTCCTCCTCCTCCTCCTCCTCCTCCCCTCCTCCGCCCCCCCGCCCCCCCACCCTCCGCCCTCCGCCTCCGCCCCTCCCCTCCACTGCTTCCTCCTCCTGCTTCCTCACTCCTCCTCCTCCTCCTCCTCCTCCTCTCCTCCTCCCTCCTCCTCCCATCCTCCTCCTCCTCCTCCTCCTCCTCTTCCTCCTCTTCCTCCTTGCCCGCCCCTGCTCGCTTCCCCCCCCATCGCTCGCCTGCCGCGGCAGGGGCTCGCCCCTCGTGGCGCTGGTCGCCCTGGCCGCCGGGGCTTTCCTCGGCGCCGACGCCCTGGGGCCCAGCCGGGCGGGCGACAGCGGGGGGTGGGCCCACACTCGTACGCAGCGCGGTGGAGCGCAGGCGCCCCTTTTTGCCCTGGTGCGTGCCCGTGGCTAGGCGCTCTCCCCCCGCCGTAGGGTGCACGTGGCGGACAGAGCGTGGAGCTCAAACAAATTGTTTCTATCTCTTGGGGCATAATTGGCATTATAGCTCCCGGCCCCCCCCTTCCCCTCCCCCCTATAACGCAACGCCCCTCCCCCCCCCAGAGCGCTCCGGGCACCGCCGTCGTGCGCAGGGCGGGGGGGAGGCGTTACATCATACACCTCCCCCTGGCCCCCCCCCCTGTAATGCTCACTATCGCCGAAAATAAAGAAACGCGTTCGTGTCGTGCATTCGGATGACGGGTGGTCTTGCTGACAGCCTCCGAAGGCAGCACTTGGCATTCTTCCGCGGGTTCCTATGGATCAGGGTCTGTAGGGATTATATAGGGACCGCCTCGCCGATGCACCCTTTGCATCATGGAGGGCACTTTGCCACCCGAGCCTGAGCATGTTCATCGGTCTTTGCACGGAGGCAGGCCTGATTATGCAGCAGAAAAAGGAGGGGGCTCGAGCAGTGGCGAAAGCGTCCTGGCTTGCCTAGAGGCCCACCAAGGAGTGTTCGAAGGACCTTCCCAGACATAACCGCGTCGTAACAAGAATCAGGACAGGCGGCCTTTGGCCATTTTCGCCCCTTGGGAGCCCTCGCTGGGCCTCGGGACCGTCAAAACACGATTCAGGATGAAAAAACCAGTCCTGGGGAAGGGTCCAGACCTCCAAGGGTCGACGTTGTGAATGAATTGCGACGTCGGGGGTCCGGTTAGGCCTACCAAATAATTTTATAAGAGCTTCTCGTTGTCTGCACGAAATGTTATCAGAGCATTTCTGGCTGAGCTTGTCCTGTTCGTACACATCGGGCCCACGTTATGAGAACATCGCTTTTGTTCTTAGAACATATTTGGGTTCTGAGAATATTCCGTGGTAGGCTTACAAGAATGCCGGGACGGTCGGTCCCTGCTCAAAGGTGGACGGGATGCACGTCATGTTTTTTGTTTTTCACTTCTCACCCAGAGCCCCTCGCACTATGAGGAAGTCATGACGGGCGTTTTTTCGCTACTTTCGGCCTCTGGCCCGTGCACGTGAGCGAGCGCTTACTTTGCACGACCCGCCACCAGCATACCCTGAGATCCGCCGCAGCGAAAAAACTGCAACATTGCAAAAAATCACGCCTGGCCCCATCTTTCCGCGTCCTTGAGGGTCCCTGGGTCCGACAAGAAGGCAAACACGCCCGGCTCAGAAAAGTTGAGACGCCAGGATCTCAGGGTAGACCATGGGGGGCCGACCCGTGGCAGTGGTGTACTGGGCGCGATCGGCGCTTCGCACAGCAAGGCGAGACCACAGCTAGGCCAGCTGTCCCTGGTCTACCGGCGGTGGCGGTGAGTAGTGGGAAGCAGGCCCACCGGCACGGGTGTCAGAGGCATCGCCAGGTGGGGTGGTGCGGGGGGGGGGTAGGCTGGGCTGTTCGAGGTCCCCAGACCCCCTCGGGCAATGGAAAAATCATGGCGGGAGGTTTTTCCTGACTTTCGGCCTCGGGGGGCCCTCACCAGGCCTCGGGACAGTCAAGACACGACTCAGGATGAGAAACCGGTCCTGGGGAAGGGGTCGAGACCTCTGGCGGTCGACGCAATGACAAATTCATGACGTCGGGGGTCTGGGTCTGTGTTTTCGGGTGCTCTAGTCGGTTCTCGGCGGTCTGCCAGCCTCGGAGTGCTCTCCGGCAGCGGCGCCTCACCGAGAGCGTTCCCGGGGGGGGGCCGGGTCGTCCCGAACGGCCGCCCGGGAGCGGAGGTATATGGCCCCCAGGAGGTTCAGCACTACCGGCCGGTGGTCGAAAGTAGGTACTCCAGATTTCGTAATAAAGGGAGGGGGGTCTCATTTCGGGGGGGGGGTCTCTTCCAGGCTATATTGGAGGGCCTGGGGGGTCTGGGGACGATGTTTTGGAGGGTTCTCCCACGGGGGAGGTCTGAAATGGCTTGTCTTGGAGGGTCCAGACCCCCTCCCTTTTATTACGAAATCTGGAGTAGTCTTGGATTCCCAGGTTCCCATCTGCTTCAAGCGCCTTTCTGTTTCAAGGACCGGAATGCTTTTGCCGAGTTGTGTCATCCCCTGGGAGCGCCTGGGCCCAATCTACTGGATCCGCCGTCCCACCTCTTGCTTTTACCTAGTTCTTTCGACCGACGTGTAATGGAGGATGACGATTGATAAATGACCGGGGGTCGTGTTCACGCGGCGGCGCCCGGGATGATGATTAGAAAAAACCGGCCGCGGGCCGGAAAACTATTTTTTTGACCGTTCTCCTCCAGCCAGAAACCTGTGCAGAAAAAGCAGAGAACTATTTCTTTAGTCGTTCTCCTTCATTTTTTCCTATTAATCGTCATCCCGCAGTACGGGGTCGACTGCCCCCACTCGCACGCAGGCCGCCCGCGTGAGGTCGCGCGTGAGTGCCCTCGCTTCCACTGGCGTGCCGCGCCGGCGGCCCGCGCAAGCCGCCGCGCACGGTGGCCACGCCATCTCGCGCATCGGCCCCGTTTTTTTGTTCCCGTCGCCCACCGGCGGTGCCAGCGCAGCGCCATGCTGCTGCATGTCCTTGCCTACTGCTTCTTCCGGCCGACGTGTGTGTGTGTGTGCGTGTGTGTGTGTGTGTGTGTGTGTGTGTGTATGTGTGTGTTTGTGTGTGTGTGTGTGTGTGTGTTTTGGGGGGGCAGGCTGAGGGGGGGCGGAGCGCATCGGCCCCCCAATCGCCCAGTCATCGCCCCCCTTCATAGAGCCTGGCATGCCCTCTTGATTCCGTCTCTGCCGTCGACTAGCGTCGACTAGCGTCTGGGAGGCGATGAGACAGCACCGACTTAGCATCGGCTGGCGTCGATCTAGCGTCGATCTAGCGTCGATTCGCGCCGACGTAGCGTCGATCAGCGTCGGCTCGCCAGAGCCGACAAGATGGTATGGGAGGCTCCCAGGAGTCGCCACCGACGATTTGCTAACGCGGGCCCATCGCCGACCTGTCGGCGAGGTATCGCCGACTCGAGCTGGGTGCTTCCCCCCGTGAGGAGGTGGGGCCCCCCTCCCCCTGCCCCGTGTCCCTCGAAAAATGAGCGCCCTTCTGGCGCACCTCTCCGTTGGCCGCGGTGGCTGTTCAGGGCCTAGGCTTCCTCCTCCTCCTCCTCCTCCTCCTCCTCCTCGTCCTCCTCCTCCTCCTCGTCCTCCTCCTCCTCGTCCTCCTCCTCCTCGTCCTACTCCTCCTCACCCCCCATCCTCCTCCTCCTCCTCCTCCTCCTCCTCCTCCTCCTCCTCCTCCTCCTCCTCCTCATCCTGTACCTGTACCGCTACCCGTCGCCCGTTTTCCCGTTTTTGGTGGCCTTCTGGGAGGTCCTCGTCGCCAACGCCAGATTCCCCTCGAATTCTGGTCAGAATGCACCCCGGGAAAGGTCTGGGGAGTAGAGGGCTGCGTGTCCCTCAATAGTTCTGGGTCCCCAGACTACAGGTACCCCCTGGACTACAGGTACCATCTCCCCGAACTACAGGTACCTCTCCCCCAGACTGGACTACAGGTACCCCCCCCCGACTACATCCACGCGTGCGTTGACGCGTGAACATGCGTTCCCCCCCAGAGTGCAGGTACCGCCCCCAGACTACATGTACCCTTCCCCTGGATTTCAGATACCCCACCCCGGACTACAGCTACCCCTCCCCCGGACTACATGTACCCTCCGCGGACTACAGGTCCCCCCACAACTATGGAGGGACACAGAGTACCGGTACCTGTTGGTTTCTCCATAGGGGCCCTTCAGGGCCCCTTTGCTGCCACCGTCCATCGACCCCCGTTCCACGACATCCGCCGACCTGATTTTTTCAGCCCGCGGCCCCAGATGTCGTAGCTGCTTCTCCAGGGGTAGTTTTTCGCACCGGATCTACGCTTGATGGCCTTCGGGCCCAAAAGCGGCCACCGAGGGCCGGCATCGAGGAACAACCGCCAGTTGAAAACGTCATGTTCTCGTCGGATATCTGGGCATGTTGCCCCCCGCTAACGTCCGCCTGGTCCAGCGTGACGGCGTCCGGAGAGCGAGCGACGCTGGCGACGGTGGCGGGCGCCTCGGACGAGGACGAGAAGCCCGCTGCTGGCCAGTGGATGAACGGGGTGCTGTACAGGACGGGGGCACCGACTCTCAGAGGAGGAAAAGATACGGGTACCGCTGCACTTCAGATCTCTCGTTTTGGCTTATTTGGCGACTCCTGGGAGGCCCTTGTTGCCAAGGCTGTATCCGCCTCGAGGTCCTCGTCAGATCACACCCAGAGAGAGGTCCAGAGAGTAGCGGTATCCGTACATGTTGTTTTCCCGAAATTCTGTGCCATGGCCTCCTTTGGGAATTATTTCCACCGCCCCCTACTCCACCTCCTCTTCAACAGGCGCGGATCTCCAGAGCATGCTTCCAGAACGTGTAGCCTGGGCCTGGCTGATGCGTAAGATGTGTATCTGGGGGGTGCGCCTGGTGCGGGACATGGGAAAAGACACGCGTAGCTTGGATGCGCTGTCTGAAGATTTTTCGCTCCACATCAAGTGAGGCACGTTGGAGTAAGGGTGTCCTTAGCGTAGGGGGCTAGGAGGTGGAGAGGGAAGGAAATGAAAATAAGCATCACAGGCTCGCTGGTTGCAAGTTTTCGAGGCTGATCTCGGACCCACCTGCTCACCCTCATTGTGGGTTTGGGCGCCCTGGAGAAACTCCTGCGTAGAAGAGTCCGCAACCTGCCCAGGGGGCCTGGGAACGGTAGGGGGGCCACGGTGCAGAGCGCTGTTGTGGCGCATAGTCGGGCGCCTCTTCTCATACATCGCTCCATCCTGACGTGGAGGTATCTTTCATGCCCCGTACAGGATGGCTCAGCGCGAGGAAGGTGTGACGCCAAAGGGGCCACCGGTGAAGGATGAGAGGGACAGGTACCTCGTGAAATACCCCCGCTCATGGGTACAGAAGGCCAAGGATCTCGCAGCGGCTGGGCACACCAGGAAGTTCAACTTCATCGGGGCTCTTCGGGATCTGAGCGCAGAGTCCAGCTACCCCATGGGCGTGCGCGACTGGATCGCGCCGTTTGTGAGCAAACATCTGCATCGCTGCCGCGTCCGCATCCTGCCCCCAACTCCAGGAAGCACTCGTTCTGCCCTGGCGGACCCACACACGTTCAGATCTGGTGCCGCACACGGTGCGATTCAGCAAGGGCCTCGCGCTCGAGGGGCCGCAGGGTCGACTTCTCTTCATCGGCGGCAGGTGCCCTCCCCCTCCTCCTCCTCCTCCTACTCCTCCTCCTCCTCCTCCTCCTCCTCCTCCTCCTCCTCTTCCTCCTCCGCCTCTCCTCCTCCAGCCTACTCTCCTCCTCCTCCTCCTCCTCCTCCTCCTCCTCCTCCTCCCCCCCCTCCTGCTGGCGAAAGCTGGCGAGGGCTTCGGAACCCAGCGGAAGCAAGAGTTGCCCCCCCAAAAGTTGCATCTTCATCACATGTCACATGAGCATCTTTGTGCTTCCTCTGAACGGGGGGGCTGGGGGGTCCTTCGCAAGCAGCGGCGTTCTGCGAAAGCACTCAGGGGCTTGGAACGCGCTTAATGTCTTCTGCAAAGCGTTGTGGCGGATTTTAGCGCGGCCGACTACTACAAGGATACCAATCCAGCGCCCGAGACGAAACTACTGGGGCCTTATGACCATTCTCAGGAGAAGAGAAATTTCACTAAGCAGCAGAAGTCGTATGAGAATGATGAGGTGCCATTTGACGAGACGTACTTCCGCACCCTCTGCGAGAGTGAGTTCACCTTGGCTCCTGCTGGTGACCTGCCCTACAGTAACAGGTTTATGGAGGCAATTCTGTGTGGATCAATCCCGATCGTGGATAAGGAAGAGTACGCGAATTGCGAGCACCACCAGTACTATGCCAAAGTAAAGCTCTCCAAGCAGATTGGATGGCATTTCTACATCGCAAAGGAGGACCCCGCCTTCGAGTACGTCTACAACCGCACATGGGCCGAGGAGAACTTGCAGAAGGCGATCAGATACCACACTCTGATGACAGGGTTCAACGATGATGAGTTATACCGTCAGGCCGGGGAGCAGCCGCTGCCGGCGGCCGCGGCCGCGGCCGCGCCGGTGTCCACCAAGGCCGAAGAGCAGCCCGCCATGCCAGAGGCCAAGAGGGAGGTCACGGCGGCCGCGGCCGCGGCCCCCGTCGCGCCGCCGCCGCCGCCGCCGGCCGCGGCCGCGCCGGTGCCCCCCCAGGCCGAGGAACAGCCCGCCACGCCAGAGGCCAAGAGGGAGGTCGTGGCCCCGAGCGCCAGCGAGGCCGCCCCTGACGCGGCCGAGGTCGCGGTCGCGCCGGCGCCGCCGGCAGCCGAGGCGCGCAGCAGCGTGCCGTCTGCGGCCTCCGCAGAGGCCACGTGCTGTCGACGCGTGAGAGTGGCCCTTCGCCAGAATGACCTCTGGTGCGGGCCCGCAGGGGTCGCCTCTCAGCGCAAGCGTGCGCGCCTGAAATTGCCCCCCCCCCCCCCCCCCGCGCGACCCCCCAAAGCTGCGCACCAAAGGTCAGTCAGACTCTTGCCTGGGGTCACCTCTGGCGCGTCGCCGAGGCCAAGACGGCCCTGCCGAGCACCACCAGTGGGACCCCGCACCCCGCCGCGGCGGCCGCGCCGCCGCCGGGGCTGCTGGTCCACAGCGGCGTGGCGCCCTCGGGGGCCGCTGCGCGCTGGCTGCTGGCCGGGGGGCTGCTGTGGCTGCTGTGAGCGGCACGCCGCGCTGGCCAGCGCTCCTCCCTTGGCTCAGGGGTGTGGGGGGGGGGGGGGCTCGAGGTTTCTGTCCCGTTCTCGTGGGCTCCTGGGGGGTTCTCCAGCCTCGGGGGGGGCCCGGCCCAGCAGCTGCGCCCCGCGGAGAGCGGGTCACGGGGGCGCCGGGGAGCGGAGCTCTGGCCCGAAAGCCAGGAGGGCAAGATCAGGAGGAGGAGGAGGAGGAGGAGGAGGAGGAGTGAGAGGGCGGCTTCGGCTGAGTGAGGTTGGAGGTGGAGATGATGATGATTGAATGATGAGTGAGTCTTAGGATTACACCAGTCGGATGTATTGAGGCTTCGTGCTATCTATTTTTTGGATGGTTCATGCGGAGTCGACGCCCACTGAGGAGTGTAGGAGGAGGCGTGCGTCCTCTGCTTATTAGTCCGAGGCAGTCTATATTTCCGGTCTGAGTTCGGCGGATGAGGCGGAGGAGGCGGAGGAAGGTGGGTGGGAGGCAGGCTCAAGGAGGACGCGTCGACCCCCCAATCGCCCATTCGTCGCCGATAGGCTGGAGTCAGGGATGTCCCTCCACAGGAGGGATGTTCAAAATAATTCCAAAAATGTCTGGGGAGGATGTTTCGATTATTTGTCTGACTATTTTTGGCTATTGTTTGTACTTTTGATTTTGCGTCCAAAATCCGTGTGTAGGGGGACAGCCCGACCTAACGATAGGCGCCCGATCGCTTACCCTGGCCAGGGAGCTTCGGATTCGCTCTCGGGGGCTCATGGCCGATCTGTCGGAGATGCACCGCCGATTCCAGGTCGATCGCCCCCTTCCTGAGCCTGTACCCCCCCCAGGGTTCCCCCTCACTGCTGCCCTTTCTCCGAGACCTCAATATCGAATCGGCGCGCTTCCATTTACAAGGACGTTGCGCTGTAGGCGGCGACAGTTGTAACACAGCGGACTGACCGGCCGGTCCCCTTCGATGCACAGCCGCCTCCTCCGCTTTCTCATGTGTACTTCGACCACCCTCTGCGGCCCCCTGCGCGCCCGATGGACCTCTCCAGCTTCCAAACGCCAGATCCCGCGCCGCTTCATCTCCCTTGTGCGTCTCCCTGCCCAGCGCGCCCTCTCTGAGCTCACCCCCGCGGCATCCAGAGACCCTCCACGACGGACTGCTGGCGTGCTGCCTCGCTGGGATCGGGGGCGGAAAAGAGGGGGGTGATGACTAGGGGGGGGGATATCATGGCGGGGGCCATGATATTTCCCCAGATTTCATGGCGCCTCTTCTTGTTTCATTACGTCCCTGGCCCCCCCGCTGGGCCGCGCACATGCCGCTGGTCATGATTTGCACCCCCATCTCTTGGACACCCCCCTCTTGGCCGCTCCCGATGGGAGTTTCCCTGGCAACAGACGGGCGACAGGCGGGCGGGCCGTGCGGCGTTGGACGGCCAAGTCGTTTTCCTGCCGCCAGAAGGCGGCCGGACAGGAAGAGGATGTGCCACCGCGGGTAATGTAGGGTCCGGAATTATAAAGCGGCGCCTCCCCCCCCCCCCCTGACCTCTCCCGGGGGGGGGGGATAGCGCCCCCGGCAGGGAGTATTTTATTATTCTTCGCCGCCGCCGCCGCCGCCGTCGTCGTCGTCGTCGTCGTCGTCGTCGCCTTCGGTTTTTCGAAGGTTTTTCGTCGACCCTCGATCTTCGGAGGTTTCTTCGATTTCGGCCTCTGGACGCACGAAAGCGCATGAAACAGGTAGACACTGAGAGCGCTGTGAGAGCATGGTGTTTCGGGGGCAACATGCGAACCCTGCCCTATTTCTCACGATTTCTGAGGGGCAGGGTGGGGTTCACTTTGTCTGGGCGCTCCCGAGCGAAGTGAACTCCACCCTCGCCCTCAGAAATCGTGGGGGGTAGGGGGTAGGGTTCGCATGTGGCCCCCTGGTGTTGGAGAGGCTGATTCCCCGAAGGGCCCTCCACCACCACCAGCGCCCCCTTTGACAAGCCAGGCAGCGGCACAGGCTCGAGTTGCGGAGGGCCGCGCCTGCCGCTGCAGCCGGCGGCGGCGCGCACCCGCATATCGAATCTAACACACACACACATATAGATATGTACATATATATACACATGTATATATATGCATGTATACATACAGGCATACGTACATACATACATACATACATCCATACATACATACATACATGCATGCATGCATGCATACATACATACATGCATGCGTGCATGCATGCATGCATGTATGCATACGTACATACGTACATACGTACATACGTACATACGTACGTACGTACGCACATACATACATACATACATACATACATACATACATACATACATACATACATACAGTTTCATGTATATAGACATGTGTACATACATGAAGGCATACACATATATGTGAACACACATCTATATATACATATCTGTATACATACATGTATACATACACGTCTGCATACAGACAGACAGACAGACAGACAGACAGACAGACAGACAGACAGACAGACAGACAGACAGACAGACAGACAGACAGACAGAAACACACACACACAAGACTGTTTGGGTACGTCGCGCCATGCACCCTGGTCCTTCACTCCCAGGCATGCAGGCGCCACGAGAGAGATGCGGATCACCCGAAGCAGCGATTGCTCTTGGTTGCGGTTCTCGTCATCGCCGCTGTCCTGGAGGCCTGCGCCATTCCGCCGACCCCTGGCAGAGGGAAGACGTCCACGGTGCGGCTCCTGGATCAGGAGGGGAAGAAGCACAGACACAATTCATCGTCGATTCCCCGGCAAATATAGGAAACTATGGGCAGTGGGGGGAAGACGAAAGCCCGGAAACTATTTGAAAATATGGGGAATTCTGCTATTTGTGTGTGTATTCATTTGTGTGTCCGAGGGCCCCTTCATTGGAGGCCTTTTTGGGAGACCGCTTGGGAGCCTCAAGGGGGCTCTTCTGGACCGTCGGGGGCCTCTTGGGGGGTCCTTGGGCGCCTGCTGGTGGTCTCGGGGCCCAGGCTCGATATTTCAGTGTCCGTTTCCCCTCTCGAGGAGGAGGAGGAGGAGGAGGAGGAGGAGGAGGAGGAGGGAGGAGGAGGAGGAGGAGGAGGGAGGAGGAGGAGGAGGAGTCTTGTTGGGGCCCCTACGGCCGTCTTGGGCGCCCCTTGGGCCGTCTTGTGGCCCTCTTGGGTCGTCTTGGGGCCCTCTCGGGGGCTGTTTGGGCGGTCTTGGAGCAATCTCGGGGGCCTCTTGAGCCGTCTCGGACGGACGCTGTACTGAAAATGCGAATATGCTGAAAATGCACGTCTCCGTCTCCATCGGGAATTGAAAGTTTTTTGCTTCTTCGGCCATCTTGAGGGCATATTGGGTGTTTTGTTAGGCCTCCTCGGCGTGTTCGGGCCTAGATTGAGCCAGCGTAGAGCCTGTTTTTAGACTCCGGCAAGATTGCTTGCATGCACGGCGGGGGGGAGGGGCTGAACCCGAAGCAAGCCACAAGCGACTTGCACGTTGGGGGGGAGCGGAAAGGCGGGGGGGGGGTAGTAAAAGAGGGATAGAAAAGAAGAAGAGGGGGAGCTCCGCGCCTCGCAAGTGCAAGGGCGTTTCGTAGGGAAGTGACGATACCTGAAGCGATGGGCGCGCCATGTGCCATACAAATCAGCAGGGGCGCCTGAGCACCGGAACCACAGTGCAACTTCGGGACCATGAAGCCACAATTTCTGCCAAGTCCATGCCGTTGGGGCTACGATGGCGATCCATAACCCTTGCATTTGCGCGCGGGGGGGGGGCGCGGAAATCAAGCAAATCGAAAGCACTTGCAAACGGCTTTTTCGGCCCAGTGGAAGGATTGAAGCAAATGGAGGGGCGGAGAGGGGACAACTGCCATTCAAGCTAAACGTGCTTACCAAAATATATATATATATAATCTATAGTATATAATAATAATATATTATAGATAATATATATATCTATATATATATATATATATAGAAAACCTTGCAGGCCACGGGCTTTAGATTTGAGGCTCCGGAGGCCGCCAGGGGAGGCCCCCTGGGGTGGTTTGGCGAGCTCGCCCTCCCCCCCCCCCTCTCGCACGGCAGTTTGGGCCCCATGGATAAAAGGGCCCTTTCCCACTTCCATTGGGGCGCCGTGGAGGCCCCCCCCCTACCCCCCCCGCCCTCGCACGGCAGTTTGGGCCCCAGGGAAGGGGGAAAGGGCCCCTTTCCCACTTCCCTTGGGACGCGTGGAGCCCCCCCCTTAACGTGCAAGTTGCTTCTGGCGTGCTTGGGGCGCGCCCACCCACCCACCCCTTCGATGCAAGTGAACTTGCCAGAATCTGAAGAAAACCGTCTCCGGGGGACAGCCAGGGGTTGCAGTAGATTTGGGGCGTGCAATGCATTCTGGTGCAACTTGCTGAGGTGTCGCGTGCGAAACGTCCGTTGCAATACAATGCAATGCACTTCTCCGGCGCAGTACGTTTGCAGCACAACTGCCCCAAATCGAGCGCACCACCCCCTCAACGCTGGACAGCCGCTGGACCCCCTTCTGGGTCGACCGAGCTTCCTATTCCTCTTCCTCGTTCCCGCCTGGATTGCCCCGCGAATCCTTCCGCGTCCTCCTCAGACTTGGTCATCATTTACGTCATCATTTACCGCACGCCGTCAGCTACACGGTCGCGATTAATAAGGCGGTTTCAAGAAGGTGGTTCAATAATAATAGTGGTTTCTTTTAAGGAGGTGGTGTAAGAAGGTGGTTTAAGAAGGGATGGGAGGAGGAGCGGGAAGGCGTGCGCTCTCCCACGCGCCACGGCGCACTTTTCCCCAGCCCCCCGCAGGGGCCGCACCGCGCTCGGGGATCCGTATCCGTATCCTCCGACTTGGTTGCGGAGGCTTCGCGGCTTCCCCGAGACGAGCTTCTGGAGGACCTGGCGACAGTGCTGTCGGGGAAGCTCCGTGGGCGCCTCCGGAGACGCCCCATGGCGCTCTGCGGCGGCCTCTTGGGGGCTCCTCGGGCCACCGGGCCGCGGACCGTGGTCTGAGGAGGAGGAGGAGGAGGAGGAGGAGGAGGAGGAGGAGGAGGAGGGGGAGGAGGAGGAGGAGGAGGAGGAGGAGGAGGAGGAGGAGGAGGAGGTGCCCTCGTGGGCCGTCTTGGGGCTCCCACTTTAAACGGAGAAGGTTAAAGGCGAGGTATAAATCGAGCATGTACCGCTGCCGTGCCTGGCTCAAGCCGGGCCCGGCCAAATATGTGATTGTGCCTCACCGAGGCGCACGATTCGTATCTGAGATCGGAAAAATACCTTTTCCATTGACGATGCCTATCCTATCTTTTACTCCAGATCCCATGCTTCGTCTTGCTCTCTTGCTCATGCGATATGAGCCAAAGCCTGGGATATGGGAACGCCTAAGGCGTAATATATACCTAAGCTTACCAGTGCGTTTTCGACTTGGTAGCGGAGCTGGCTACACTCTCGTGTGGCTGGCTCTCGCTCTGATTCCTGTAATCCACGGCACAACTTGGTGGACTACTACTACGGTGGAATACCATTTTGCGCCGGCTCTGCGAGGAGCGGAGCCAGTCCGCGATCGAGCTAGCGGGGCAACCCGCGAACTCGAGACGCTCTCTCCTACTTCACTGCGCCACTTCACTCCCGACTTCCACCAGATGCCAATCGGCAACTCGATCGAGAACGTGGTCACCCTGCGGGGCTACCCGCAGCGGGGCCACCTGCATCCCGTGCAAGTCAGGCGCCTCACGGCTACTACGCCAGAGCCTGACAAACCACAGCCTAAACCAATCACCGAAGCCGAAATGCACATGCACTGGATTAAGATAACTATCTTCGGCATTTTGTGGGTAATAATGGGATGTGCTGTGGGATACATGCGGCAGGGGATGGACGACACGCGTACTACTGGCCCTTCATGGGACCCTGCCGGTACTACGCCTTTTCGCGAAAACGTTCGCGAAGTACATGCATGGATAAACGTAACGAGCGGCAATATGACGCCACCACAACAAGCTGCAGCACTACAACGAGGCCTTCAAGGTCTTGCTCGTCGTATCGCCATGCATGTCCCCTCCCAGATCATCAACTATGGTGTAACTGTCAATGGACAGCCAACGGATGCAGTTACATATATACTGTACCTACTGAGGGAAGAAAAGGGGGGGGGGGTTAGTAGGGAAGAGTATGAAGAAAAAAAAAGCAGAGACACAGACAAGTGCTGCCGGGGGGTGATGTGAGACGATCAGAAGATGGCAAAGGGGGGCCCCCACCGGATGGATACGATCATGGCGTCAAGGAGTGGAGTGACGACGTATCAGAATTGGGGTAGTGGAGCACTCTCGTTCTGAACAAATGGGGGGGTGAGAGGAGGAGAAGGCTAGGAGAGGGGGTGGGGGGAGAACATGCACCTGCATACGCTATCGTGAATCGGCTTAAATGGTCTAAACATATTTTGAATATGGGCCATCCTGTGGTTCGCTTGGGGTCAGCGCCCTTCTACGCAGCCCACC